AAGAATATACAACCCACCCTCACTGGTGTTGAAAATATCTACTATAGAACCAGACAATAAGATACAACTCACCCTCCCTGGTTTTGACAGTATCACCTTTTCAACCCACCCTCCCTGGTGTTGAAAATATCTACTATAGAACCAGACAATAAGATACAACCAACACTCCCTGGTGTTGACAGTATCACCTTTTCAACCCACCCTCCCCTCCCTGGTGTTGAAAATATCTACTATAGAACCAGACAATAAGATACAACCCACCCTCCCTGGTGTTGACAGTATCTACTATTCAACCCAATAATATACAACCTCCCCTGGTGTTGAAAATATCTACTATAGAACCAGACAATAATATACAACCCACCCTCCCTGGTGTTGAAAATATCTACTATAGAACCAGACAATAATATACAACCCACCCTCCCTGGTGTTGAAAATATCTACTATAGAACCAGACAATAATATACAACCCACCCTCCCTGGTGTTGAAAATATCTACTATAGAACCAGACAATAAGATACAACTCACCCTCCCTGGTGTTGACAGTATCACCTTTTCAACCCACCCTCCCTGGTGTTGAAAATATCTACTATAGAACCAGACAATAATATACAACCCACCCTCCTGGTGTTGAAAATATCTACTATAGAACCAGACAATAATATACAACCCACCCTCCCTGGTGTTGAAAATATCTACTATAGAACCAGACAATAAGATACAACCCACCCTCCCTGGTGTTGAAAATATCTACTATAGAACCAGACAATAATATACAACTCACCCTCCCTGGTGTTGAAAATATCTACTATAGAACCAGACAATAAGACAACCCACCCTCCCTGGTGTTGAAAATATCTACTATAGAACCAGACAATAATATACAACCACACCTCCCTGTGGTGTTGAAAGACAATATCTACTATAGAACCAGACAATAATATACAACTCACCCTCCCTGGTGTTGAAAATATCTACCAACTCAACCCACCCTCCTGGTGTTGAAAATATCTACTATAGAACCAGACAACAATAATATACAACCCACCCTCCCTGGTGTTGAAAATATCTACTATAGAACCAGACAATAATATACAACCCACCCTCCCTGGTGTTGAAAATATCTACTATAGAACCAGACAATAATATACAACCCACCCTCCCTGGTGTTGAAAATATCTACTATAGAACCAGACAATAAGATACAACTCACCCTCCCTGGTGTTGAAAATATCTACTATAGAAGCAGACAAGAATATACAACCCACCCTCACTGGTGTTGAAAGTATCTACTATAGAACCAGACAATAAGATACAACTCACCCTCCCTGGTTTTGACAGTATCACCTTTTCAACCCACCCTCCCTGGTGTTGAAAATATCTACTATAGAACCAGACAATAAGATACAACCAACACTCCCTGGTGTTGACAGTATCACCTGTAGAACCAGACAATAATATACAACCCACCCTCCCTGGTGTTGAAAATATCTACTATAGAACCAGACAATAAGATACAACCCACCCTCCCTGGTGTTGAAAATATCTACTATAGAACCAGACAATAATATACAACTCACCCTCCCTGGTGTTGACAGTATCTACTATAGAACCAGACAATAATATACAACCCACCCTCCCTGGTGTTGAAAATATCTACTATAGAACCAGACAATAAGATACAACTCACCCTCCCTGGTGTTGAAAATATCTACTATAGAACCAGACAATAAGATATATACAACCCACCCTCACTGGTGTTGAAAGTATCTACTATAGAACCAGACAATAAGATACAACTCACCCTCCCTGGTGTTGACAGTATCGCCTTTTCAACCCACCCTCCCTGGTGTTGAAAATATCTACTATAGAACCAGACAATAATATACAACCACCCTCACTGGTGTTGAAAATAAGAGACCAGACAATAAGATACAACCAACACTCCCTGGTGTTGACAGTATCACCTTTTCAACCCACCCTCCCTGGTGTTGAAAATATCTACTATAGAACCAGACAATAATATACAACCCACCCTCTCTGGTGTTGAAAATATCTACTATAGAACCAGACAATAATATACAACCCACCCTCCCTGGTGTTGAAAATATCTACTATAGAACCAGACAATAAGATACAACCCACACTCCTGGTGTTGAAAATATCAGTATCAACTTTTTCAACCACCCTCCTGGTGTTGAAAAATATCTACTATAGAACCAGACAATAATATACAACCCAGCCTCTCTGGTGTTGAAAATATCTACTACAGAACCAGACAATAATATACAACCCACCCTCCCTGGTGTTGAAAATATCTACTATAGAACCAGACAATAAGATACAACTCACCCTCCCTGGTGTTGAAAATATCTACTATAGAACCAGACAATAATATACAACCCACCCTCACTGGTGTTGAAAATATCTACTATAGAACCAGACAATAAGATACAACTCACCCTCCCTGGTGTTGAAAATATCTACTATAGAAGCAGACAAGAATATACAACCCACCCTCACTGGTGTTGAAAATATCTACTATAGAACCAGACAATAAGATACAACTCACCCTCCCTGGTGTTGACAGTATCACCTTTTCAACCCACCCTCCCTGGTGTTGAAAATATCTACTATAGAACCAGACAATAAGATACAACCCACCCTCACTGGTGTTGAAAATATCTACTATAGAACCAGACAATAATATACAACCCACCCTCCTGGTGTTGAAAATATCTACTATAGAACCAGACAATAAGATACAACTCACCCTCCCTGGTGTTGAAAATATCTACTATAGAACCAGACAATAAGATACAACCCACCCTCCCTGGTGTTGAAAATATCTACTGTAGAACCAGACAATAATATACAACCCACCCTCCCTGGTGTTGAAAATATCTACCATAGAACCAGACAATAAGATACAACACACCCTCCCTGGTGTTGAAAATATCTACTATAGAACCAGACAATAAGATACAACTCACCCTCCCTGGTGTTGAAAATATCTACTATAGAACCAGACAATAATATACAACCCACCCTCCCTGGTGTTGAAAATATCTACTATAGAACCAGACAATAAGATACAACTCACCCTCCCTGGTGTTGACAGTATCTACTATAGAACCAGACAATAATATACAACCCACCCTCCCTGTGTGTGTTGAAAATATCTACTATAGAACCAGACAATAAGATACAACTCACCCTCCCTGGTGTTGACAGTATCACCTTTTCAACCCACCCTCCCTGGTATTGAAAATATCTACTATAGAACCAGACAATAATATACAACCCAGCCTCTCTGGTGTTGAAAATATCTACTACAGAACCAGACAATAATATACAACCCACCCTCCCTGGTGTTGAAAATATCTACTATAGAACCAGACAATACAACCCACCACTCCCTGGTGTTGAACCACCCTCCCCTGGTTCAATCCCACCCTCCCTGGTGTTGAAAATATCTACTATAGAACCAGACAAGATACAATAATATACAACCTCCTGGTGTTGAAAATATCTACTATAGAACCAGACAATAATATAACTGGGTGTGACAGTATCACCTTTTCAACCCCCTCCCTGGTGTTGAAAATATCTACTATAGAACCAGACAATAAGATACAACTCCAGACAATAAGATACCTCACCCTGGTGTTGAAAATATCTACTATAGAACCAGACAATAATATACAACCCACCCTCTCTGGTGTTGAAAATATCTACTATAGAACCAGCCAATAAGATACAACTCACCCTCCCTGGTGTTGAAAATATCTACTATAGAAGCAGACAAGAATATACAACCCACCCTCACTGGTGTTGAAAGTATCTACTATAGAACCAGACAATAAGATACAACTCACCCTCCCTGGTTTTGACAGTATCACCTTTTCAACCCACCCTCCCTGGTGTTGAAAATATCTACTATAGAACCAGACAATAAGATACAACCAACACTCCCTGGTGTTGACAGTATCACCTTTTCAACCCACCCTCCCTGGTGTTGAAAATATCTACTATAGAACCAGACAATAATATACAACCCACCCTCCCTGGTGTTGAAAATATCTACTATAGAACCAGACAATAAGATACAACTCACCCTCCCTGGTGTTGAAAATATCTACTATAGAACCAGACAATAATATACAACCCACCCTCCCTGGTGTTGAAAATATCTACTATAGAACCAGACAATAAGATACAACCCACCCTCACTGGTGTTGAAAAATATCTACTATAGAACCAGACAATAAGATACAACCCACCCTCCCTGGTGTTGAAAATATCTACTATAGAACCAGACAAGAATATACAACCCACCCTCACTGGTGTTGAAAATATCTACTATAGAACCAGACAATAAGATACAACTCACCCTCCCTGGTGTTGACAGTATCGACCTTTTCAACCCACCCTCCCTGGTGTTGAAAATATCTACTATAGAACCAGACAATAAGATACAACCAACCCTCCCTGGTGTTGACAGTATCACCTTTTCAACCCACCCTCCCTGGTGTTGAAAATATCTACTATAGAACCAGACAATAATATACAACCCAGCCTCTCTGGTGTTGAAAATATCTACTATAGAACCAGACAATAATATACAACCCACCCTCCCTGGTGTTGAAAATATCTACTATAGAACCAGACAATAATATACAACCCACCCTCCTGGTGTTGAAAATATCTACTATAGAACCAGACAATAATATACAACCCACCCTCCCTGGTGTTGAAAATATCTACTATAGAACCAGACAATAAGATACAACTCACCCTCCCTGGTGTTGACAGTATCACCTTTTCAACCCACCCTCCCTGGTGTTGAAAATATCTACTATAGAACCAGACAATAAGATACAACTCACCCTCCCTGGTGTTGAAAATATCTACTATAGAACCAGACAATAATATACAACCCACCCTCCCTGGTGTTGAAAATATCTACTATAGAACCAGACAATAAGATACAACTCACCCTCCCTGGTGTTGACAGTATCACCTTTTCAACCCACCCTCCCTGGTGTTGAAAATATCCTCCCTGGTGTTGAAAATATCTACTATAGAACCAGACAATAAGATACAACCCAACACTCTCCTGGTGTTGACAGTATCACCTTTAGAACCCACCAATAATATGGTGTTGAAAATATCTACTATAGAACCAGACAATAATATACAACCCACCCTCCCTGGTGTTGAAAATATCTACTATAGAACCAGACAATAATATACAACCCACCCTCCCTGGTGTTGAAAATATCTACTATAGAACCAGACAATAAGATACAACTCAACCCTCCCTGGTGTTGACAGTATCACCTTTTCAACCCACCCTCCCTGGTGTTGAAAATATCTACTATAGAACCAGACAATAAGATACAACCAACCCTCCCTGGTGTTGACAGTATCACCTTTTCAACCCACCCTCCCTGGTATTGAAAATATCTACTATAGAACCAGACAATAATATACAACCCACCCTCCCTGGTGTTGAAAATATCTACTATAGAACCAGACAATAAGATACAACTCACCCTCCCTGGTGTTGAACCTATAGAACCAGACAATAATATACAACCCACCCTCCCTGGTGTTGAAAATATCTACTATAGAACCAGACAATAATATACAACTCACCCTCCTGGTGTTGGATGGTATCGCCTTTTCAATACACCCACTCTCCCTGGTGTTGAAAATATCTACTATAGAACCAGACAATAATATACAACTCAGCCTCTCTGGTGTTGAAAATATCTACTACCTAGAACTCAGACAATAATAATACAACCCACCCTCCCTGGTGTTGAAACCAGACAATATCTACTATAGAACCAGACAATAAGATACAACTCACCCTCCCTGGTGTGAAAATATCTACTATAGAACCAGACAATAATATACAACCCACCCACTGACAGGCCCGGGGACAAGGTGGGGCGAAGACTGACCAGTCTGGGACATGGAGGGAGGAACACTGACCGGCCTGGGACAAGGAGGGAGGAACACTGACCGGCCTGGTACAAGGAGGGAGGAACACTGACCGGCCTGGGACAAGGTGGGGCGAACATTGACCGGCCTGGGACAAGGTGGGAGGAACACTGACCAGTCTGGGACAAGGAGGGACGGACACTGACCAGCCTGGGACAAGGTGGGGAGAACACTGACCGGCCTGGGACAAGGTAGGAGGAACACTGACCAGTCTGGGACAAGGAGGGAGGAACACTGACCGGCCTGGGACAAGGTGGGGCGAACACTGACCGGCCTGGGACAAGGAGGGAGGAACACTGACCAGTCTGGGACATGGAGGGACGGACACTGACCAGTCTGGGACATGGAGGGACGGACACTGACCGGCCTGGGACAAGGAGGGCGAACACTGACCGGCCTGGGACAAGGTGGGAGGAACACTGACCGGCTTTGGACAAGGTGGGGCGAAAACTGACCTGCCTGGGACAAGGTGGGGCGAACAATGACCAGTCTGGGACATGGACGGACGAACACTGACCGGCCTAGGACAAGGAGTGAGGAACACTGACCAGCCTGGGACATGGAGGGACGAACACTGACCGGCTTGGGACAAGGTGGGGCGAAAACTGTCCAGCCTGGACAAGGATGGACGAACACTGACCAGTCTGGGACAAGGAGGGAGGAACACTGACCGGCCTGGGACAAAGAGGGAGGAACACTGGCCAGTCTGGGACAAGGAGGGAGGAACACTGGCCAGCCTGGGACAAGAAGGGAGGAACACTGACCAGCCTGGGACAAGGGGGCACGAACACTGGCCGGCCTGGAACAAGGTGGGGCGAACACTGACAAGCCGGAGACAAGGAGGGAGGAACACTGGCCAGTCTTGGACAAAAACGGAGGAACACTGACCAGCCGGGGACAAAGAGGGACGAACACTGGCCGGCCTGGGACAAAGAGGGAGGAACACTGACCAGCCTGGGACAAGGAGGGAGGAACACTGGCCGGCCTGGGACAAGGTGGGGCGAACACTGACCAGCCGGGGACAAGGAGGGAGGAACACTGGCCAGTCTGGGACAAGAACGGAGGAACACTGACCAGCTTGGGACAAAGAGGGACGAACACTTACCGGCCTGGGACAAGGTGGGGCGAACACTTACCGGCCTGGGACAAGGTGGGGCGAACACTGACCGGCCTGGTACAAGGAGGGACGAACACTGACCGGCTTGGGACAAGGTGGGGCGAAAAACTGACCTGCCTGGGACAAAGAGGGACGAACACTGACCGGCTTGGGACAAGGTGGGGCGAAAACTGACCTGCCTGGGACAAGGTGGGGCGAACAATGACCAGTCTGGGACAAGAACGGAAGAACACTGACCGGCCTAGGACAAGGAGGGAGGAACACTGACCAGCCTGGGACATGGAGGGACGAACACTGACCGGCTTGGGAAAAAGGAGCGACGAATACTGACCAGTCTGGGACAAGGAGGGAGGAACACTGACCGGCTTGGGACAAGGTGGGGCGAAAACTGTCAAGCCTGGGACAAGGATGGACGAACACTGACCAGTCTGGGACAAGGAGGGAGGAACACTGACCGGCCTGGGACAAAGAGGGAGGAACACTGGCCAGTCTGGGACAAGGAGGGAGGAACACTGGCCAGCCTGGGACAAGAAGGGAGGAACACTGACCAGCCTGGGACAAGGGGGGACGAACACTGGCCGGCCTGGGACAAGGTGGGGCGAACACTGACCAGCCGGGGACAAGGAGGGAGGAACACTGACCAGCCTGGGACAAAGAGGGACGAACACTGACCGGCCTGGGACAAGGTGGAGCGAACACTGACCAGCCTGGGATAAGGAGGGAGGATCACTGGCCCGCCTGGGACAAGGAGGGAGGAACATTGGCCGTCCTGGGACAAGGTGGGGCGAACACTGACCAGTCTGGGACATGGAGGGACGAACACTGACCAGTCTGGGACAAGGAAGGAGGAACACTGACCAGCCTGGGACATGGTGGGGCGAAAACTGACCAGCCTGGGACAAGGAGGGAGGAAAACTGACCAGCCTGGGACAAGGAGGGACGAACACTGGCCAGTCTGGGACATGAAGGGAGGAAAACTGACCAGCCTGGGACAAGGAGGGACGAACACTGGCCAGTCTGGGACATGAAGGGAGGAACACTGACCAGTTTGGGACATGAAGGGACGAACACTGACCAGTCTGGGACAAGGAGGGAGGAACACTGACCAGTCTGAGACAAGGAGGGACGAACTCTGACCAGCCAATCCAACACATTTGTTTCCCAAGTGTCAGTATGTCTTCACCGCCTTCACATGGCAGTGTGTGTCGGAACTGTTCACACTACCTCATATAGTTGTTCTGCGAGAATCAAAGCACACATTCTTTAACGGAACTACGAATCGCATTGTTTGGTGAGTGCCGGAGGTGTTGCGCCAAGTTCTATATTGATTGAAGTAGTCTAGAATATTTCGTGAAGTATACACAAGGAACTTAATGAAGCGCCCCTGTATTTTAGGACAGGTTTTCAACACGTACATATTTTAACGTCTCGTGGTGACCTCGATCGAAAAACATGAGTTCTGACCCTTATGAAATTTGACTCATAAAAAACGACAAAATGATTGGAATCCATGTTGATTTTATAATGATAATTGCCCATTTAAAAAGACAACATACAAAACCATGTCTCTACAAGTATAGCCCTGGAATGTTTCATTTTGAATTTATTGGTGAAAGTGAACATTTAAAATCTCATTTTGCGTGTCTTACACGATTCAATGTAAATACCGAGTGTAACCTCCATGTGACTGTGTGACAGCCAGCACTTTCTTTGTTATACCCTCTGTCAGCCTCCTGATCCTCTGAACGGGCAGTCAACGCCATTCCTCGTGTAAAGCGGCTTCAAATTGGGCCAGGTTCTGTACAGGAGGATCCCTTTGTTGCACACGTCGACCAATCATGTCCCAGATATGCTCCAAAGGGTTAAGATCGGGGCTCATTCAATCGTGAGAGTGAGTGAGTGAGTGAGTGAGTTGAGTTTTACGCCGCACTCAGCAATATTCCAGCTATATGGCGGCGGTCTGTAAATAATCGAGTCTGGACCAGACAATCCAGTGATCAACAGCATGAGCATCGATCTGCGCAATTGGGAACCGATGACATGTGTCAACCAAGTCAGCGAAACTGACCACCCGATCCCGTTAGTCGCCTCTTACGACAAGATAGTCGCTTGTTATGGCAAACACATGGGTTGCTGAAGACCTATTCTACCCCGGATCTTCACGGGTCCCAATCGTGAGATATTCCAAGAGGGGCTTAACTAAGTTCTTTGTTTACATATTGATTGAAGTAGTGTCCACGTTCTGTTTATTGATTACATTAGTGGGTTCACGGTCTTTAGTGTTTGGTGTTTGGTTGGTAGTTGTTTTACGCCGCAATCAGCAATATTCCAACTATACGGCGGCGGTCTGTAAACAATCGAGTCTGGACCAGACAATCCAGTGATCAACAGCACCAGACAATCCAGTGATCAACAGCATAATCATCGACCTACGCAATTGGGATGTCAACCAAGTCAGCGAGCCTGACCACCAGATCCCGTTATCGCCTCTTACGACAAGCATGGGTTACTAAGGTGGTGGGGTAGCCTAGTGGTTAAAGCGTTGGCTCGTCACGCCGAAGACCCGGGTTCGAATCCCCACATGGGTACAATGTGTGAAGCCCATTTCTGGTGTCCCCCGCCGTGATATTGCTGGAATATTGCTAAAAGTGGCGTAAAACCAAACTCAGTCAGTCAGTCAGTACTGAAGATCAATTCTGACCCGGATCTTCGAATTCTCGGGTCTTGCTGATCTTGAATCCATAACACAGATTGCACTGCCAGTAATAGCAGCAGAACAACCAAGATATGCAGCGGAGAACAAAAAAATAGACCGAACAAGGTGTTACAGTCACAGAATTCGACTCCTCGGTTAATAAAACGTTTTACATATTAGAATATGTATTGTAAAGAAAGACTTAGCCTTCTTGTGAAGTGGCACTTGTCCTCTACCAACACTGTTTCCGGAGTTCGAGTCGGCGGAAATGAAACACAACCTCAGAATTTTAAAGCTGCATCATTAACGCGTCCGCTTGTCGCGCTAGTTCGATTCCCCAAATGTGTACAGTGTGTGAAGCCCATTTCTCGTGTCCCCCGCCCTGATTTTGCTGGAATATTGCTAAAGGCGGCGTAAAACCATACTCACTCACTTACTCACTACATGTGTATCTGGCTGGTCAGAAATATTGCAGCTATATCACGGTGGTCAAAAATATTGCAGCTGTATCACGGTGGTCAAAAATATTGCAGCTGTATCACGGTGGTCAAAAATATTACAGCTGTATCACGGTGGTCAAAAATATTGCAGCTGTATCACGGTGGTCTGTAATCACACATATCACAGCTGTATCACGGTGGTCTGCTGTCTGAAATGTTACAGCCGTATCACGGTGGTCTGTAATCACACATATCACAGCTGTATCACGTTGGTCTGCTGTCTGAAATGTTACAGCCGTATCACGGTGGTCTGTAATCACACATATCACAGCTGTATCACGGTGGTCTGCTGTCTGAAATGTTACAGCCGTATCACGGTGGTCTGTAATCACACATATCACAGCTGTATCACGTTGGTCTGCTGTCTGAAATGTTACAGCCGTATCACGGTGGTCTGTAATCACACATATCACAGCTGTATCACGGTGGTCTGCTGTCTGAAATGTTTCAGCTGTATCACGGTGGTCTGTAATCACACATATCACAGCTGTATCACGGTGGTCTGTAATCACACATATCACAGCTGTATCACGGTGATATCACGGATATATATATCCTATGATAATAAAATAAAATAATATTCGTGATATGTCACACCAACCTGTAGTCAGCAATATTTAAGCGAAATCATGCTGGTCTGTTATCTCTATTGTACAATAGTTAATGTTGATTAGTTAATGCGTCAGGGTATCATGTAAAAGGACTACATTAAGTAGTCTTTTGGTGACGTGGACTTTTATGTCTTGTTCTAACATCGTGCAGGACCCTATACATATCTTGTGTAACTAGAGTATTCACTGACTGTTAAATTGGTGTAAATAATATTAAAATGTGAACTAGCACACGCAGCAAGTATTGTTTGAAGGACTGTTTGACGAACATAATACTCTGGCTGGTTCACCTGGGACATTTGTTTGGTATTTTTGTTTTTTTAAACTTGCTTTATTTCAACAGAAATCGGCTACTCTGACTTTTGTGCCAGAACGGTTATTCGCCAGAAGCTATATGTCAGCAGTACCAAACTACCCATTCATATTTCGGAATTATTCTTGGTTATTCTCGTATTAAAAGACATTAAAACAATTATTGGATTTATCATATCGACCTCTAAAGCGCCAATGAGTGTTTGCGACATTACAACTCGCTTTACGTTACACCAGACCACTTTACGGCAATAACCTTTGTCACGTGTGAAAACTGGAGGAAATGGCGCTGGATGTGTTGCAGTGGGTTGTCATTGGCTTCCTGTTGATACTTCCTATTCTGTACGAGCTGAACAGCACGTTCAAGTATTATGCCAAGTTTTTCTTCTACTATGTCATTGTCAATCTTTTGGCTTTCATGGTTATTTTCCTGAGTCTTCCACGGGCGAAGGATGTCACGAATTATGGGTAAGCTAATGAATGTTTACATCTGAGTGAAGCAGACGATGACCGAGCAGTTTCGTTTTCGACATCACACAAGTTTTCCTTATTTTACTATCAAATTTGAAACTGAGTTCTAAAGTAATGCTCCAAGCACTCGTCATATCTGCATACATTTTGGTTGTCAACAGGGATGCTATTTGCGTACCTCAGAGTGTGATAGCAGTGTACTGCTGAAGCAAGGGGTCGTTGTCGACACGGGTACAACAGATATGTACCCCATGTGCGTTTCTGTATACAGAAATGTACCCGGTACCCTAAACGGCGGACGAGTCCAAAGTCCTCAACCCGAAACCGTGTGTAGTTGTTCCCGCTTGCCTGATCGCGAGTGGTACTATGCTTCGCGAAATATTCTACTAGTCTTTGTACCATTTGCTTAGTTAACATGATTAATAATTGAGTCCGGGCAGGAATAGATATAGATGAAACTGGGACATATGATATCGAGGATTCTGACTGTTTCCCCTTAATCAAAGTTTCCTTGGTAATATATCTTGGTTATATCAGACAATATGGTCTCTGGTTATATTAGCCTAACTCAAACCTACAAACTGATATTTTAACACTTCTACCCAGGTGTTGTATCATAGAGAACACTCACACACTACAACATAACACCCCTGCATTCAGGGGGTTGAACATTTCATCAAAACTCTAGTGGACACAGGTCCAGAAACTTTCAAAATCCATGTGAGCAAATATTAATTTCACTAGTCCACATTTAACAATTTGGGTTTTTTTGCAAATAGTCTTTATCAATTGCATTTTTATTTCATCATCAAAATACATATATCAAAACATTTCAGTAGTTTGGCACTACTGTACCACGGTTAAGTTTAATGTGGATATTTACTTGACCAACCGGAGAATTCGACTGGACCCTGGTGTCAGCCAATGGTATTTTCAACCCCTGCTGCATTGGACATTGCAGGTTACACATGAACTATATATTTATCCTAACTGATCATGCTGAGCATAAATGTACCAACACATGACATGAAACAAAATCATGCATAATGTTCAACAGCTACTGATGTTAGTTTGTGATTATTCCTCTGATCAGACAGAGAATGATCTTTGACCTACTGACCCCCCCATGAGCCAGGCTGATGACACATCTCTTATACCTCAAGTTCAAGTGTTGGCGTTAAAACCCAAACACTATTCTGACTATTCTGTTTGTTTTCAATGCAAGCAGGCCAATGCTTACGTTGCCATGGAAGTAGGTTAGCAATGGTCAGTCCTGGTGAAAAAGTAAATATTGGCAAATTGATGTCTGCCTTCCTTGAAGGACAACCAGATAAACTTGACAGAATTCCATGGACACGTTGCTGTTTTACATACATGTATGGACTATTATGTAACATTGTAAACATGGTCAATCATACCTATACAGTCGAGCACCGTTGTGTCGAACTCTGATAACTCGATATCTCGGTTGTCTCGATATAACATCTCATCCCAGCAAAATCCTTCATGATTTATCATTATTCTTGCTCTTTTAACTCGATACGGATGTCTCGATATTTGGGATATCTCGATATATCTCATGGTCCCAACAATCAAAATTACCCTTTTAACTCGTTATTTGCAAAGAAACTCAATATTCACCTACCTTTCATGGGCAAGTATCCCTCTGAACTGAGGATGTTTTCACACGTTTACACATGGTGCAGCATGAATCAAAGGGATGCAATAGTGTAAACTAATTAGGGCTAATTGAGTTGAAGGTGTCACTTGTTAATTAATTAGGATTAACTAAGAAGGAATTAATTAGGAAGTACTCACTGTTACGACTAAACACTACTGATAACAGATTATAGTTTCAAATCAAAACATACTGAGAATAGTGAAATGTGATGATATGCCCTGGTTGGATGTCTCGAAGTTCGGTTACTCGATATTGTTTCTTGGTCCCATGAATATTGAGACAAAGGTGCTCGACTGTAAATGGCAGTAAGTTGACTAAGTGTTGCCAACATTACACACCACATGTCTTTATGCTATTGAGGACCAAATAATTGTCATTTGTTATATGATATGCTTGTCAATAGGTTATGTCATCTGTGAATTCCTTTGATCTGTAGTTACTGCTTACTTTTGGAAAAGGATCTTTCGTGTAATCACAGAATCTGCGCTAGAACCACTACACTTACACACTAGTTTGTAGGGGTGTCACGATACACCAATCTCACGATACGATCCGATACGTATCACGATTTTAAGGTCACGATACGATACGTATCGCGATACATAATTTTCTCGCCTTTTCATAGCATTACCTTACCGGCAACGTACGCGCTCGCTTATAGGTCCATCAAAATAGTCTAGCCAATCACAAAAGCTGTTAGTTTCCAACCTATTTTTTAAGTATAGCTAGCTACATCTATTCATCGGAGCGGTCTCGTATAATTTTACTATCAAGACTTTGAAGGAGATGGATATAGCATAAAAAATTGAATCGATAAAGTTTTAAAATAGGAATCGATACACGCAAGCATGTATCGCGTATCGTATCGTCAGTAAAAATCTATCGATGCATCGATACATTCGCGTATCGCGACACCCCTACTAGTTTGCATATAGTTTAGAATTTAGCTTTCCCAGGGTTTGACACCAAGGCACGTCCAAACGACATTGTAGAGTAAATAGCTGGTTCAGTCTAGTTAAAATCTTGTCTGGCTAGTCTGACTGGTTGTGTAGATATTTAACGAACATTGTTTCAAATCACTGTATTTGTTTATTTTTGCTTTTGAAAATCTTGCACACATCTATTACAATGAGTGTTACAGAGATCGTTATTAAGCTTATTTAAGTGTAAAAAGACTATCATAGTTTTTCTTCAATGATATATGTTCTTCAGAAAAATCAAAAGTTAAAGTATACAATATTCATAATGGACAAAAGAAAACAACAATTATCACATGGTTTTGTGTTTAATATAGTTTGTTCTTCTAGTATGCACTGTAGTATAAACCTGCTGATAACAAAAATAACCTTTTGTCTGCCAGCAGTTTGGTATAGTTCACATTAGGTTAGGTCTAGTACTAATATAAACCTGCTGATAACAAAAATAACCTTTTGTCTTCCAACAGTTTGGTATAGTTCACATTAGGTTAGGTCTAGTAAATTTGAATAGTTCACATTAGATTAGGTTTAGTACTAATAGTAAAAATATTAACATCAAACTCTGCTTTCCTGGCCAATAATCATGCACACACTCTTTCACTGTATATTGCTAGGTACATACTTCCATCCAGTGCTGGGTTCACACTTCTCTTTTTCCAGAGGTAGTGTCACTTCAACAAATGTTCATTGCAATGGTTTTCAACTGCATATCAAAACCACTTCCTCCATATCATATATACTGATCTTTTTTTTTTGAGGAAATAAAAGTCCGTGCAGGTCAACTTACAAAGCCACAGCGTTAGTTATAACCTAGACTAACATCTAGTCTCTGAAATGAACATATTTTACAGAATAAACAGTTCCTAAATTATAATCCTAAAATATAATGATAAGGAGCCCAGAGACTTTTTTCATTTTGAAACTGGCAACCTAGACTTGCCACATAGTGTTATAAATTTGTTTCAGGGTCTGTATGACAGAATAGTTATAACCATGTTAGCTCTATACAGTTTGGAAATGTTTTATACTAATTTTTGATTATTACAGACATTTGCACTATACTGAGCTGGCCAAGACAGATTCCTGTGTAGGCCAGGTAATGAGGTATCATTATCATTCAGTAACATGTTACCATGGTTACTGCACCATGCTGAACTAATTGTCCATTATGTCACCATATGTGCCATTTTGACATGTGACGTGTTTGTGGACAATCAGATGTGCCACTTAATCATGATCATGTTGGTTTCGTGACAGTTTTCATATTCCTAACATGTGTCTATCATTGTCTATATCAAGCTGTTTCACATTGAGCATTTTTAGATTATCCAAAGTACCTTCACAGGTCACATTTTATAGCTTAACAATCTTCATGATCATTGCGTTGGTTACCATGGTGTCATGTATAGTTTGAGTATATATACTGAACATCATTGAAAACGCACCAGTCTAAAATTGTCCATATTTTCATCAAGATGGATTTCAGCATGACAATGATCAATGAATATAACTAACATGAAGTCGAAGGGCATGTCCAGTTGAAAAATGCTTTAGAAACAAATTCCTGTCCACAGTATGACTCTTAATTCCAAAATGCATCAACATGCAGCCACGCCACAGGGGTTAAAATATCCCATCGCCCGACGTCAGGGACAAGTCAGTTTTCATTTCGGGCAATCAAATAATGGTATCTTACTTGTCCGTGGGCTACTAGATAATTTCCACTTATGGTTTCAAACTGCAAATAAACTTGGATTTAATTTCATATCTGCTCAAAATGTAGCTATTAAATTTCGCAATGATAATGAAGTAGAGTTATCTTTCTTTGCTATTTATCACTTTTCAATAAATAGTCCAGTAAACATTAACATCAAATGCCATGTTGAGAACTTGATTTATTCTTTCATAATTACATCATCATGATTATTTCATAAAATCAGGGCAAGTGGAAAATTAGTCAGTACAAGTTACTTTTTTAAAGTCACTTGCCCTATGGCAAGTGACTTTTTAAGAAAATGTTGAACCCCTGCGCCATGAAATAAGCGCGAATATCATTCTGAAATCATATTGACTGTGACATTAAAAGCAGGTGTATGAGAACCGATTGTCATTGCTTCACTAACGATGGTGAAACGAGGACAGAGATGCCGAGGTTAACACCTCACGAAAGAGAACGTGCACTAGGCATGATTCAGGTTGGCACCAGCAGCAGGGATATTGCTCGACAACTTGGACTTGGCCACTCCACCATCGTTAGGCTTCATAGACGACATCAGTAGACAGGCAGCACCCGTGACCTTCAATGACCTTGGCAACAACGTGTTACAATGCTCCATCAGGATCGCCATATTGACCTTGTCCGTATCAGTGATTGAACACTGCTGACTGCAAGGACTGCTGCACTAGTTCAAGGTTGACGTGGTGGGTCATCAGCGCTGACTCCATGCGACGCCGTCTACACGCTACAGGGCTCCATGCTCGACGTCCTTACGTTGGACCAGTTCTGACTGACAGACACTGTAATGAGCGTATACAATGGGCTAGCAGGCATTTTCAATAAAGGTTACAACAATGGCATGGTGTGTTAGTCACTGATGAATCACGTCTTCATCTACGTAATGCTGACGGCCGATTACGTGTTTGGCGTAGATGTGGTGAACGTTATGCTGATGAGTGTGTGGTTCAGACAGACCTTTGGGTGGTGGGAGTGTCATGGTCTGGGGTGGAATAAATTACAATCACAGGACTGCCTTCATGTCTGTCAAGGGAAAGTTAATGCCCTTTATTACCGTGAGCAGATTCTTGAGAATCACATCGTATCTGTCTTCAATCACCACCAAGATGTCCATACTTTTCAACAGGACAACGCACGGGCACACACAACAAGACTTTCCATGCAGTATTTGGCCCAGCAACACATCCAGGTTATTCATTGGCCAGCACAGTCGCCAGATGTATCCCCCCATGGAACACTTGTGGGACGAAATTGGTCAACGTCTTTCGCGGCGACAACAGATGTGAAACATCCGGGAACTTGAGGCTGCACTACTGCAGAAGTGGAATGCCATCCTCAAGAACTCTATTTGGACGCTTATTGACTCAATGAGGAGACGTTGAACTGCATGTGTCAATGCAAATGGCGGTCACACCCGATATTGACTTTTCGATTTGACCCCACGTGTGTTTGATCCTTTCTGACTGTGGAACATTTCAGTGAATGAGTGTCTTTTCTGTGTTGTTGTTTTTGTCAGTCGTCCATCCACTCAATAAATATCAATTCATTACACATGCTTTTAATAATCTGAACTTTTATAAGTGGTGCGTTTTCAATGATGTTCAGTATATTTCATGTTTTTAAGCCAAGAAATGATTAGTCACATGATCTTTTACTCAAACTTTCTAAGTCTAACGGGCTGGTGGGATAGCCTAGTGGTTAAAGCGTTTGCTCTTCATGCCGAAGACACTGGTTCAATTCCCCACATGGATACATTGTGTGAAGCCCATTTCTGGTGTCCTCCACTGTGAGTGTGATATTGCTGAAATATTGCTAAAACTGCATAAAACTCAACTCACGCACTCACTGTTTTTAACATTTTCAATATGGCGGCAATGATCATGATGATGCTTACCTTGTTTTATTTTACTTTTTAAATTGTGTATTGATCTTCAATTTTCATAAATAAAAGTGAGATGTGCTGTTCCAAACATTTGGAGAATTCAGAAACCTCCCTGTTGATCATGATGATATACTGATTAGAAAGTTCTTATTGATCTCCATTGAATTGCTTGCCAGGATTTCACCGCGGTTCCAAACCATGTGCCTATGGTGGGCAGATTTGGAAATAGAATCATGATATCAGTCAATATTTAAATTGTTTTAGAGTGCTCATCATGTTTAATGTCATAAATCTATGGTGTTTTGGGAATTGTTTAGTTCAAATTGGGAATTTCTTGTATCATTTGTTACAGACTTGGTGCTGAATATCGGCCCTTATCAGGTCCAGATAATCCCTTGATTTCCTGTTGGCATGAAAGGTGGTTGATCAGACCTTTGGGGGGGATTTGGAGTAAAAGGTCTGATACTAATGAAATTGCCTCTTATGGATTAAGGGTGGTGGTATGGCCTAGTGGTTAACATGGTTAAAGTGTTCGCTCGTCACACCAAAGACCTGGGTTCGATTCCCAACATGGGTTCATTGATTGAAGCCCATTTTTGGTGTATCCTGTCATGATATTGCTGGAATATTGCTAAAGGTAAAAGTGGAGTAAAACCCAAATTACTCAATCTTATGGATTAATACCTGAATAGATTTTATTTTTAATTATTCAGACACATGACATGTGTTTTTTGGTAGATACGTCAGCTCGGCCATCAAGAGCATCAGGAAGTTGTTTGGAATTGAGATCGAAATCCGTGGGAAAGAAAATCTTGAGTCAAATAAACCATACATCCTGGTGTCCAACCATCAGAGCTCTCTCGACTTCTTTGGTGAGTTGTGTTACTTTCACATATCTCCATGTAATACCCCGTGCGACCCGAAGATCCGGGTTAGAATTGGCCTTTAGCATGCTCATGCTCATGCTGTTGATCACTGGATTGTCTGGTCCAGACTCGATTATATTCAGACGGACGCCATATGGCTGGAATATTGCTGAGCGCGGCGTAAAACTCACTCACTCACTAATACCCCATACAACTACCTGTATGTCCTTGTATTACCTGTGCATAACACCCTTTATGTGCTTGTATTACCTGTTGTTACTCCTGGAGTGTCCTGGTTTTAGTACTATTAGTATTACCCATATATAACTCATTGTAGGATCTTGTATTATAATACATACTATTAACTGTATGTCCTTGTATCCCCATGCATTACTCCCTGTATGTCCTTGTATCCCCATGCATTACTCCCCCCACGTACTTGTATGTCCTTGTAAAACCAAATCCTGAGTTCTCTAATTACTCCTGGTCTGTATGTACTTGTGTGTCCTTGCATTACTCCCTGTGTGTCCTTGTATCCCCATTGCATTACTCCCTGTATGTCCTTGTATCTCCATGCATTACTCCCTGTATGTACTTGTGTGTCCATGCATTACTCCCTGTATGTCCTTGTATCCCAATGCATTACTCCCTGTATGTCCTTGTGTTCCCTTGCATTACTCCCTGTATGTCCTTGTATCTCCATGCATTACTCCCCCTGTATGTCCTTGTATCCCCATGCATTACTCCCTGTATGTCCTTGTATCCCAATGCATTACTCCCCCTGTATGTCCTTGTATTCCATGCATTACTCCCTGTATGTCCTTGTATCTCCATGCATTACTCCCTGTATCTCCATGCATTACCTGTATGTGTCCTTGTTGTCTCTCCATGCATTACTCCCTGTATGTCCTTGTATCTCCATGCATTACTCCCTGTATGTCCTTGTATCCCCATGCATTACTCCCTGTATGTCCTTGTATCTCCATGCATTACTCCCTGTATGTCCTTGTATCTCCATGCATTACTCCCTGTGTGTCATTACTCCCTGTATGTCCTTGTATCCCCATGCATTACTCCCTGTATGTCCTTGTATCTCCATGCATTACTCCCTGTATGTCCTTGTATCTCCATGCATTACTCCCTGTATGTCCTTGTATCTCCATGCATTACTCCCTGTATGTCCTTGTGTTTCCATCTTGCTTTACTCCCTGTATGTCCTATTATCCCCGTGCATTACTCCCTGTATGTCCTTGTATCCCCATGCATTACTCCCTGTATGTCCTATTATCCCCGTGCATTACTCCCTCTATGTCCTTGTATCTCCATGCATTACTCCCTGTATGTCCTTGTATCCCCATGCATTACTCCCTGTATGTCCTTGTATCTCCATGCATTACTCCCTGTATGTCCTTGTGTTCTCTTGCATTACTCCCTGTATGTCCTTGTATCCCCATGCATTACTCCCTGTATGTCCTTTTGTGTTCCCTTGCATTACTCCCTGTATGTCCATGTGTCCCCATGCATTACTCCCTGTATGTCCTTGTGTTATCTCCATGCATTACTCCCTGTATGTCCTTGTATCCCCATGCATTACTCCCTTGTATGTCCTTGTATCTCCATGCATTACTCCCTGTATGTCCTTGTATCTCCATGCATTACTCCCTGTATGTCCTTGTATCCCCATGCATTACTCCCTGTATGTCCTTGTATCTCCATGCATTACTCCCTGTATGTCCTTGTATCTCCATGCATTACTCCCTGTATGTCCTTGTATCCCCATGCATTACTCCCTGTATGTCCTTGTATCTCCATGCATTACTCCCTGTATGTCCTTGTATCTCCATGCATTACTCCCTGTATGTCCTTGTATCCCCATGCATTACTCCCTGTATGTCCTTGTGTTATCTTGCATTACTCCCTGTATGTCCTTGTATCCCCATGCATTACTCCCTGTATGTCCTTGTATCTCCATGCATTACTCCCTGTATGTCCTTGTATCTCCATGCATTACTCCCTGTATGTCCTTGTATCTCCATGCATTACTCCCTGTATGTCCTATTATCCCCATGCATTACTCCCTGTATGTCCTTGTCCCCATGTCATTGTATCTCCATGCATTACCCCTGTATGTCCTTTTATTCCATGCATTACTCCCCTGTATGCATTACTCCCCCTGTATGTCCTTGTATCCCCATGCATTACTCCCTGTATGTCCTATTATCCCCATGCATTACTCCCTGTATGTCCTTGTATCTCCATGCATTACTCCCTGTATGTCCTATTATCTCCATGCTTTACTCCCTGTATGTCCTTGTATCTCCATGCATTACTCCCTGTATGTCCTTGTGTCCCCATGCATTATTCCCTGTATGTCCTTTTGTTCACTTGCATTACTCCCTGTATGTCCTTGTATCTCCATGCATTCCTCCCTGTATGTCCTTGTGTTATCTTGCTTTACTCCCTGTATGTCCTTGTATCTCCATTCATTACTCCCTGTATGTCCTTGTATAACTCTTTGTATTCACTATGGGCACAGTGTATAACTGTCTGTTAGTCTACTTCTATTCCCCCAGTCACATGGTTACAGAATGAATTGAGGAAATATGAACTACACAATGCCTTTCAGGAAGGCAACATGTGGAAGTATAATGGGTTGGATAGACAGAGCTACAGATAACTTTTCGGGTCATTGAGTTATGTACTCGCTTGTCTTCATCTCAATTGGGTATCCTAATTTTCCTTGGAGTAACCAAATAAATTGTACTCACCACACTCAAACTCAATTGGGTATTTTGCCATTTTCCATTAATTTGAAACATATAATAAGTTTAAATGTTGGTGTTTGTGATTTAAAATAGAGCCTTTCAATATGCGTCAGTTATTTTATCTATCCACCCGCTTGCATAGCATTAAAAGATTTGACATTTTTGTGTGTGTATTATTTCAATCTAAGATCACATCTATTGAGTATTTACAAAATTTTATAGGTAATGCGTGCTTGCCACATCTCTAATAGACTTTCACATAAATATTTATAACTTTACGCAGATATAGCGCAGCTTATCTGTACCTCTGGATAGAGGAACTATTTAGACGTACATGTATATCACATCTGTATGTTGACCATGTTGCAGGTATGATGGAGATTTGGCCATTACGTTGCACCAGCTTGGCCAAGAAAGAACTGATGTACACTGGGCCATTTGGCCTGGCAGCATGGCTGTGTGGGACAGTGTTCATTGACCGTTTGAACCATGACCGGGCCGTCAGCACGATAAAGGAAACTGCCGACTTCATCAACAAGAACAATGTAAATGTGATAGCTAATGGGTCCACATTGCAGGAACTGCTGCATGAAATTACATTTGATGAATACAAGTGACACTCTCGTAATATTGACTCTCATAGATTCACTTAATGTAGTCTTTGGTGATGTATACTGTCTGAGGACTTTGGACACATCGGCTCTGGTCAATTCGGCTCATATAGCCTTTGGTTGGTTGGTTTGTTGTTTAACGCTGCACTCAGCAATATTCCAGCTATATGGCGGCGGTCTGTAAATAATCAGGTGATCCCTACACAAATGGGATACAATGACATGTCAAACAAGTCAGCAAGCCTGACCACCTGATCTCATTAGTCCATGCACCCCACCCACCCAATGCCTGTAATAACATGCATGGGGTGCTGAAGACCTATTCCATTTACAGACCAGTGCATATAGTCAGAATATTGCTGAGTGTGGCATTTTGTTTTACCTTTTTGCTGACATCAGCATGATGACATTATCAGTGAACCAACGCAAACTGAAGGTGTGTTTTGATTCTCACAGGTGAAGGTGTTCATTTTCCCTGAGGGCACCCGTAACCATTCAGGCTCCATTTTACCCTTCAAGAAGGGCGCCTTCTACCTGGCTGTGCAGGCCCAGGTGAGATTGTTTGTCTCCTCTGTGGGCACACAACTTCTACCAAATACTCCTACACATCTTTTAAACATGCGTGTTGGACATTGTGCTTTTGTTGTATGATATGCCTATTTTTGTACGTTGGGCTTGTGTTGTTAAATATGTTCAGGTTATGCAATGTGCTTGTGTTGTATACACTTTGTATGAAGCGTATTGTTGTTGTCATCAGGGGTGGAAATTGCCCGACGTCCCAGTCCTGTGGGTTTTTTCTGTAGGGCAAGCAAATTTGTAAATCATGCTGTACCGGTGTCCAGTTGACTTTCCAATGTTGATTATGTTGTTTATTAAAAAAAATCATCAAGAAATTTGGCCGGTATAGTGGAAAAATGATCAGGGCAAGTGGTTTTATATGTGCCACTGTACTGGGGTACACTAGAAATTTTAAAGTTATTTCCACCCCTGCTTGTGTGCTACACTTTTTATCTCCCGTCACGCGTTTAGCGCGAAGCGGGGGATATAGTATTAGGCTTCGATCAGATAGGCCTCCTCCTCATGCGCATGCGCATTTAATTGGAATATCTTAACAACCGTTCGCTAGATTCTTTTCATAATTGGTACCTAGTTTCATCACATTATAAAAAAGGTCCAACTCAGGTTTGGTGACATTGACCTTCATTTCTAGGTCACAAGGGGACTTTAACATTTTACCTGCATGTTAAGCTATATCAATAACCGTTCACTGGATTTTCTTCATATTCAATACCAAGCTTTATCTAGGGAAGGCGCAGGGCCCGGTCGATTTTGGTGACCTTCACTTAATTTTCAAGGTCATGGCAACACTTTGAAGATTTCAGCATGTAAACCTGCATGTTAAGCTATCTCAAGAACCGTTCACTGGATTTTCTTCATATGTAACACCAAGTTTTATCTAGGGAAGGCGCAGGGCCCAGTCAATTTTGGTGACCTTCACTTAATTTTCAAGGTCACAGAGACACTTTGAAGATTTCAGCATATTAACCTGCAGGTTATGCTTGTCAGCGAGATACTTCAAGAACCATTCACTGGAGTTTTTCATATTTGATACCAAGCTTCATCCAGGGAAGGGGGCAGTGACCTTCACTTAATTTTCAAGGTCACAGAGACACTTTGAAGGTTTCAGCATGTTAACCTGAATTGTCAGCAAGATATTTTAAGAACGGTTCCCTGGATTTTCTTCATAGACTTTTAGGACTTCTCTTGAATGTTTTTCAATAAGCAATTTCTTTAGTACTATTTTTGCATATTTCATACACTATGACATTCATGTCAAGGTCAAAGTCAGTCTTGAAAATATGTGTGTGTTTGAACAACTAAAGAGTCAGATATCAAGAGAGGTTGATTGTCATGTTTTTGTTGACATTTAACTTCATCTTAAACTTTCATTACTTTATAAGTTTGATTTGATAATTTGCAGCGGGGGATTATGTCACCTTAGTGACAATGCTTCTTGTTGTATATTATGCTTGTGGTCAATATGTTGGTGTTGTACAGTGTGCTTGTGTTGTCTTCTGTTGTACACTTTGTGTTGTCTGGGCCTGTGTATTAGGGGTGTCGCGATACGCGAATGTATCGATACATCGATACATTTTTACTGACGATACGATACGCGATACATGCTTACGTGTATCGATTCCTATTTTAAAACTTTATCGATTCAAATTTTGTATGCTATATCCATCTCCGTCAAAGTCTTGATAGTAAAATTATACCAGATCGCTCCGATAAATAGATGTAGTTAGCTTTACTTAAAAAATAGGTTGGAAACTAACAGCTTTTATGATTGGCTAGACTATTTTGATGGACCAGTCAGCAAACGCATACGTTGCCGGTAAGGTAATGCTATGAAAAGGCACGATAATTATGTATCGCGATACGTATCGTATCGTGACCTTAAAATCGTGATACGTATCGTATCGTGAGATTGGTGTATCGTGACACCCCTACTGTGTATTGGCAAATATGTTGTATTGCGATTCTGGTAGCCGTATTCTGATACTTATTGCAATATATTGGGAGCCCTAGCATTTGACAGTGAGTGACTGATTGTACATGCAGAGCCTATTTTCTATGTACTAAAGCCCTAGAAATATATGTTATGGTTGTAATAACAGAAATCTCGAATTTAGATGTGATTTAAATTTTTGTATTTAAAGTATGCTGTTTTGTCACTTAATTACATTGGAAAAAACGTGAATGAAAGTGTGTTGATTTATTAAACCATAGATATAATGACAAAACTTTTTGTATTTGTATCACCTAATATGTCGGTTCTGAGAAAAAACATTGCAACACATATCGTTTTAAAAGTGTATTGTGATGTACCGATATACCGTGCAGCCCTTGCGTTGTGTTGTCTGCTCTATTTTTGGTTGTTGTACTCTCTGATTGTATCTCCTGGCACTGCAGGTTCCGGTTGTACCAGTTGTCTTCTCCTCCTACTCGGACTTCTACAGCAAACGTGACAAGAGATTTGAAACGGGTAGGTATCAACAGTCTGCTAAATGTGACAAGAGATTTGATCCCTTTAGGTTTGATGATTGCTATAAACTCCTTCATACCAGAAAGGACTGTTGGGTTACATTAAAATATTTCAATACTTTGAATGTCAGTGTCGCACAGTTTAAACTAGGCATGACGTAAGGCTTTTCTGCACAAGTCTTCTTGATTACCTGGACCCGTGACGATCCGGGGTAGAATAGGTCTTCAGCAACCCATGTTCTTGCCATAAAAGGCGACTATGCTTGTCGTAAAAGGCGACTAACAGGATCGGTCGGTCAAGCTCGCTGACTTGGTTGACACATGTCATCGGTTCCCAATTGGGCAGATCGATGCTCATGCTGTTGATCACTGGATTGTCTGGTCCAGACTCGATTATTTACAGACCGCCGCCATATAGCTGGGATATTGCTGAGTGCGGCGTAAAACTAAACTCACTCACTCACTCACTCTTGATTACCTGAGTGATTTTGTGATCCTTAAGTTGAGTTCTTGATTGCTTCAGCTCATGAGTGAGCTCCGTGTAAGGTCAAGGCACTAGAAGCCACACTAAGAAACCCAAACATCTTTCCATCTTGGTGAAAATGAACTATTTATGACACGTCTTGTTCTGGTTGTATCATACACACCAAGGCCACACAGAAGATCACATTACGTTGTTCTTTATTCTTGTCACGCAGAAGACCCTTGAAGATCCGGGTTAGAATTGGTCTTCAGCAAACCATGCTTGTCATAAGAGGCGACTAACAGGATCGGGCGGTCAGGCTGGCTGACTTGATTGACACATGTTGTCATGTTCCAATTGCGCTGTTCGATGCTCACGCTGTTGATCACTGGATTGTCTGGTCCAGACTCGATTATTTACAGACTGCCACCATATATCTGTAATATTGCTGAGTGCAGCGCAAAACTAAACACACTCACTCACTGTAGTTTTTAATCAGGAAAAAACACCTGTCATTGTCATTGTGTGTCACAGGTAAATTCATCATCACATGCCTCCCCCCGGTGAATACAGTGGGCAGGAAGGACGCGGATGTTGCGGTGCTCACCGAGGACGTCAGGCAACAGATGCTGGACGCCTTCAATCAAACATCGTTAGAGTCCCGTCAACCCAGAGTTACCACCACAGTCAAGTAGCAGCTGCAGCAGTCGATCTTCAAGTCTCAGATGGATAATTGGTTTTAGAATTCATTTTACAAAACTGAAACTTTCTTGATTGGAAGAATTAGAACAATTTGTGTGCTTTCAACTTGTCATTGAGCATGTTTGTGCTCTCTTTTATGCTTCAGCTTTTTCTCTGCTGGATATGTATATGCTGTTTTTATGACTGGCTCCACTCTTGGAGCAAATCCATATTTACACATGATAGAATGGTGTTATTTGTGTCATTGATCTGACGTGAAATTGTTTTCTTCATTAGATTATTAATATACTAGTGACACTTTGCTAAGGATCAAATCATGGATTCAACAGAAAACAATGATGTGGGGTCAAATTGGATTTAAATATCTAAGCATGGATCCTAGGTTTCAGTGTGTCATTTCATCTTGTGGATCCCATACCTGCTATTGACAGGTGTTGTGTACTTGTCAATGACTCGTTCCATGATTTGCGAAATGGTTGATTTATGCCGCGAAAACCAGTTTTATGGTTACTCATGAAAACCAGTTTTATGGTTACTTTTATGTATCAAGTGCATAAGTAGTATATTAGCTTAAAGTGACTGTTTGCCTAAAGAGGGGTTACCAGATTATTTTTATCAGTTTTACCATCCCTAGAAATGATTCAATTTCAAATTATGAATCTACATTGTTTAAGTAAAGTTGTGAATTTTTTGACACTGATCCTTAGCAAAGTGTGAGTAGTATATATTGAATGAGAGGGTCGTGCAATCATCACCAGCAAACTGGATTTGTTGGAAGAGAGGCTGTTAAATATATTGAACAAAGCATGTTCTGGAATATGAATGCTTTGTTGATATTTTCATGAAATATCATACTAAGTCTTCACTATAAACTCCCCTAAAAATCATGATCCAGGATTTATTTGTGCAGCATATATATCATATCACCGAAATCAAACAGTGTAAGGCAGGTTTAAACCCGGCCTTTAACATAGGGTCCATTCAAGACGGCCTCTGAGGTCAACCCCAAGAAAATGTGGTCACAGTATGCTTTGACACTTGGACCATCCCAAGAAAAGATGGTGCACATTGTGCTTTGGCACTTGGACCATCCCAAGAAAATATGGTGCACATTGTGCTTTGGCACTTGGACCATCCCAAGAAAATAGTGCACAGTGTTTTTTGCCATTTGGACCATCTCTTGAAAATGTGGTGTACAATGTGCTATAACACAGGGCCCATCCCAGGAAACTGGCACACCATGTGCTTTGACACTTGGACCATCCCAAGAAAATATATTGCACAATGTGCTTTGACACTTGGCCCATCCCAAGTAAATATGGTGCACAATGTGCTTTGACTCATGGTCCACCCAAAGAATTCACTTTACCTTTACACAGTTCTAGAGAAACTGTTTGTATTTATCATATTACCTTGAAGACTGTTTTTCATGTTTTGCTGCCTCCAATGATATGTTTAATGAGCAAACAGTGTTTCTCCACAGGCTCTCATCACAACAGACACCTTTCTTGGTGCATTCCAGACACACAGTGTATGTAGCTGTAGATTGAACACATATCGTAAAGCAATATTTTCTCTGTTAATCTTTGACCCTTATAGGATGTTATCAGACATTGTTGGAGCTGAAACTCTGGACTACTCAGGGTACTGAAGTAGTGGTCTCAGGGTACATAACGACGCCACTTTATACACTCTATTATTAAGACATTCTCTTAGTGACTTACTAGGGCTGGCTGAAAAGATCAATGATGGGAAATATTGTCGATGGGAATCATTATTAATGATTATCGATATGAAAATTGTGTAATCAATAATATCGTACATAAACTATTGTGATGAAATATTTTTAAAATTTACTCATAAATAAATGGTTAGGTCTATGTACATGGATTGCTTCTAAAGCATTGTTCAGGACAGGGTTTTATTGGTAATCCAAGTCTACATGTCACCACTCACAAGTGATGTGAAACATGTTGTTCATTTCTTTCAGATTTTGGGGTCATTTTACCTCAAAGTTACATCTCCAATATTTATCGATAATTATCAATGTTTTTTTAACAATTTTCAATCTCTATGAACTATATCGATAGCTACGCCTAAATCGGGGAACTACAGTGGTGGTGTCAGGGTACATTACGACTCCACTCTGTACTCCGATGACATTTGCATTCTATAATTATGACGTTTTCTTACACATTTTTTGTGTTACTGATTGAGATCTGATTAGAATCCTTTGTTTCTTTACATGGAAACCAGTTTCGTTCTTAAGAAAATCATCTGAAATTTCTGGATTAACAAATGATTAATATAGCAATGTTGCTGGAGTGAGTGAGTATGGTTTTACGCCGTTTTTAGCAATATTCCAGCAGTATCACGGCAGGGGACACCAGAAATGGGCTTCACACATTGTACCCATGTGGGGAATCGAACCCGGTCCTCTGCATAACAAGTGTACGCTTTAACCACTAGGCTACCCCACCGCCCCCAATGTTGCTGTATGTGTATGTAGAGCTTTCAAAACCAGCTGGGAGTTTTTTATAGGCTAACAATGATTGACAGTGTTTCTCTGTATATCCACCGACACTATTCAAGTAGGGCCAAGAACTGTCTCAATCAAAATTGGACCTTTATCTTTCAGATTTATGTGTTGCATTTAGCTGACCTGGACAAAAAATCAGGTGAAATCATGCTCCCTCATTTATTGTAGAAGTCTGATTGTCAGTCAGTTGGTGTATGAGTGAGTGAGTGAGATGGGTTTTACGCCACGATGGGTTTTACGCCATTTTTAGCAATATTGCAGCAATAGTATGGCGTGGGACCAGAAATGGGCTTCAAACATCGGGAATTGATACCAGGTTTTGTGGTGATTAGCAAATGCTTTAACCACTAGGCCACCCAACCACCCAGTTGGTGTCTAAAGAGGAGCCCATCCTGCAGTTTATCTATGTGTTTAAGTCAAGTCATAGTAATGAAAGATACAGTTGCACCCCTCTGAAGACCTTTTCCACTGAATGAAGCTGCAGCTTCTTCACCCGCCTTTCTTTGCTGGCTCCCTTATCAGCTGGAACCTCTTCCACTGGACCCACTTCCAAAGGCCCCAGTATCAATTTTATCTTGCTGGACCAATACCACTGGACCCCTCACCAACCCTATCCACCTGGACCCTCTTCCACTGGACCTTTTACCCACCCTATCCAGTTGGATCCCCCTCTTTCGAAGGACCCAGTGCCCACTCTCTCTTGCTGGACCACTTACCAACCCTATCCAGTTGAACCTTAACACAGTCGTACCTATGTCTTCACCCTCCCAAGTAGAATCTTCATCCCCCCCAAAGTTGGAACCCTTGCCCACCCTTCCTCCTTAACTGGACCCTTGTATCCTTAACCTGCTTCTTTAGCTGAATCCCTGTAACTTGAACCAACCTCTTCACCTAGATGATCTGTTACGGACAGAAGGCGCTTTAATAAAATTCTGGTCATTCGTATGTTTTGCCGTCATATTTATTACCACACCCAGTTATCATATGCCACGATATGTTACGATATGTTACCATGCCAACATGTCATGTATTTCAGAGTGTGTGTGACCTTGAGATGTTTGATGTATCAATTTCAACTCTGTGTACAAGATACATATAACCAATGTGATTCGTACGTAACTGATATGAGTATATAAGCGTGTTATGGTGTGATGTTTGGTAGGTTGGACACACGATGAAGCAACAACAGTGGACCAAGAACAGCCATGTGCTGATATCCTGTATGTAGACATATCTGGTACATATGTTGTATTTATTGCCAGGTCTTATCTCCACGTTTCAAGGTAGTAGCCACATGTATCAATGTGATCCTTTATAGTATACAAAGAGTTATAAATAAACTATTTTATGAAATCATTGTGGCTGTTTTGTGATGTGCGAACACACGTACAACTGATGGATACGGGTTATCCAGTAATTTGTATGCGCAGTTTATCGTAGTGATGAGACAGACTGCGCATGCGCGGAGGTCAATCGTGAGCGAAATACTTGACCAGCTCCGGCTACGTGAGTAGCCCTCGAATCAAACGACCTGACCTTCGTGGAAGTAGCCATCAAGTCAAATGGTGAGTGGGTTCTGTACTCATTATGCATTGGTTTGAATGTTCTATAACGCCGCGCTCAGCAATATTCCAGCTGTGTGACGGCGGTCTGTAAATATTCGTGTCTGGACGAGACAATCCAGTGATCAACAGCATGAGCATCGTTCTACGCAATTGGGATACGATGTCAGTGAGCCTGACCACCCGATCTCGTTAGTCGCCTCTTACGGCGAGCGTGGGTTACATTGTGAATCAAATTAGTATGTGAGTGAGTGACTTTAGTATTACGCCGCACTCAGCAATATTCCAGCTATATAGCGGCGGTCTGTAAATATTCGAGTCTGGACCAGACAATCCAGTGATCAACAGCATGGGCATCTTTGGGAACCGATGACATGTGTCAACCAAGTCCGGAGCCTGACCACCCGATCCCGTTAGTGGCCTCTTACGAACAGCATAGTCGCCTTTTGTGGCAAGCATGGGTTGCTGAAGACCTATTCTACCCCGGATCTTCACGGGTCAAATTAGTATGTAAGATAGGCTAATCACACAGAAGTTAGAAACATGGTTTAGACGTAAAAGAAGAAACGAAATATTTTTCGGTAAATAATTTTGTTTAATTAAAGTAAGACTGTCGCTGAACTATCGGCTCTGATATCCGCTTATCAAATAACAGTCGTCTGGAATATTATGACTGGACAGACCCGTGAAGCTGGACAACCGGAAGTTGTCATACAGCATGCATTGATTGCTGGTGATTATCCTAAATGGTCTTCAGTAATCCATGCTCGTAAGAGGCGACAACCGGGATCCGGTGTCAGGCTCGCTGACTTGGTTGACACATGTCATCGTATCCCAATAGCGCAGATCGATGTTCATGATGTTAATCACTGGATTGTCTGGTCCAGACTAAATGATTTACAGACCGCCTCCATATAGCTGGAATACTACTGAGTGCGGCGTTAAACAACAAATAAGCAACCGGTCAGTTTCCGAGTTAAGTATCGATTTCATCTTCCCTACATCCCAAAGTCCAACCGCCAGAGTTCGCTTGACTTCCTAGGTGTCAGGGACGTTCATGCAATGTGTGAAATATTTCATCAGTACGAATAAGTCGGGCTAGCTAGACAATTGTTTACGAGTCAGTTTCAGAGTTAAGTATCGATTTCATCTTCCCTAAAGTACAATTCTAGTGGTAAAAAGGGGGAAATTATTTGCAACAAGGTTGGACAACGAGATTGAAATCGTGAGAGCTGA